TGATTTTTTCAAAAATTCAGAACTGAACATTAAGACCTGCAGTGTGAACGTAGCCAATGTTACATTTACATCACATCATGGATCACATATTGATCAGATGCTGCTGCTGACTGATCCATGATCCGTTATTCTCCTGACATTATTGCACGTAATATCTAATATAATGACACATGTTGATAAACTATGATCAGGTGTTGCCCTTGTGTGTTATTCACCGGTGTTACTCTAAAAAACAACAACAACAAATAAGTCCTGCTGCTGCTGTTTCAGTCTTTTTTGGTGGTGGTGTCTTTGTGCTGGAATGCGCCTGTCTCCAATATTGTGGGGGTCACGTCCCACCTGTCTCCTACGCCTACATCAGCAGCTATTTGGTCAGCAGTGAAAGCTGTCTATTATAGCAACACCTTCCTAAAATAATCACGTAACTCAATTTTGCCAACAAAGGACTGGGGTGATTATTTTAGGAAGGTGATGATAGTTGTCTCCATCTWGGCGCTATCCTGGCTGGACTGTTGAGAACTACTGAGAGAAGCTAGCTTGATACTCACAGTTAGCTGTAGGTCAGCTTGATTGCGTTTTTTTCCCCCTTGGAACGTATTCCACCCATTTTATCACTTCTTTCCAAAAACACCTGCTTTTATTTTTCTCGCAGTCATGTTTGAAGAAATCCCAAATTTGACTGCCGCTTTCTCGCGACTTTTGTTGTCATGTTGCGAAGCACTGAGCAGCAGTAGATTTAAACAAATGACGTTATGGACCATGAGGTGCCGTGAGCTGCCCACAGCTAACGTGAAACTGCTAGATGTAAAAAATAAATAACAGTTTAATCTGTCCTCACGGCTTAAAATAAATTGACAAAAACTAAAACGAAGGATGTTCTGTCAATAATTTCAGTTAGTTTTAGTTAGTTTTGTAAAAACTTTATTCAGTTAGTTATTATTTTCTTCATTTTCTTTTGATTTATATATATTTGTTAACTAAAATGTTTTTAAAATTTTAGTTTTCTTTATTTCGTTAGTTTTAGATAACTATAATAACCCTGCTTGGAAAGCCGGACTTTTTATTACTGAGCAGACTGCATTAAGACATTCTCACCACCACTGTTTGATGATTAGACGCCCTAAAGTAAAAATGGAAAGGGTAATATTCACGCACTTTGAGATAACTAAGTCCACCACCGTTGGAAACGTAGTTTTGTTTCGGTGAAAGGACAACGTGATCTCAGCTTCAGATCTTATCCTCCCAAACTCAAAASAACAAGGTTTCACTTTTTGTGTCTGCAGAAAGCTTTGTACAGTGACTTGGGCCCGAACTGGAGGGACAAGCTGGAGTCGTTCGAGGAGCGTCCTTTTGCAGCGGCGTCCATCGGCCAAGTTCACCTGGCGAGGATGAGGGACGGCCGGGAGGTGGCCATGAAAATCCAGGTCAGGGCGATTTGTGTGTGTGTGTGTGTGTATACACTTTGACTGGAAAGAGTAAAGATGAAATCTCTCCAGTTTTATTTAAAGGGGGGTGTTCTGCAAAATCAACTTTTTCTGAGCTCTATATGTTATAATTTCATTCCCTCATCAAAAACATACCCAGAGTGTTGCTTTGACTCATTCAYGTATGTTTGAGAAATCCTTGAATCTCCTGTGGGAGCCTACATTCTTATATTTAAAGTACAATTTTAGAGAGTGTTCCAGTAAACAATACATTTGCTGACACAATTTAGACAAATGATATTATTTTAAAGAGGTTGAATTTAAAACGTTGCATCGTGTTTTCTGTCTCCCTGCTTGTCTCCAGTACCCCGGTGTGGCTCAGAGTATCAACAGTGACGTCAACAACCTGATGGCCGTGCTGAACATGAGCAACGCCCTGCCTGAAGGTGCGCCCTCAAAGGACCACTAACAGAAATTAAAATCATATTCTTGTCCTCACAGCTCACGTCCAATGCCAAAATTCATCGAAACCAGTGTCGCAAACTCAGCTGTATGTTTTGTTTTGGTTGCATGGACCACGTTGTTRAACAGAAAGAGCAGCAGAGACGTCTTCAAACAGTTCCATATAAAAAAAGGCGTTGCAGCTTTCAAAAGTGTGTTGTATTTGTGTAGAAATGATGTACTTCCTGTTTGACTTCTTCTAACTGCATTCATGCTGTGAGGCTGTTACTGCTTTGTGCTGCCACCTGGTGTTAACACAGATAACTGCAGACGGTTTATTGCAGTGAAAGTGAAGGTTTAAAGAAGGTCAAATGTAATCTGGTTTTTATACAAACAGAACACAGGTCAGCTGTTTGGCTTTACATGAATTTTCTYCTCTCATTTGCTTCGTTATGCTTTAAAAAACACTTGTAGCACTTGTTCGGTTATTTTTCTTTCCTCTGTAGGTCTTTTTCCAGAGCATCTGATCGACGTAATGAGGAAAGAACTGGCACTGGAGTGTGACTACATCCGAGAAGCCAAATGTGCAAAGAAGTTCAGGTACTTGAATTTTTATTCTACCTCGTGGAGTAAATGTGCGCTCTGTTACTACAACTAAACTTTTGTCTCTGCCTCCTCCTTACTCAGGGAGCTGCTGAAGGATGACGAGTTCTTCTACGTACCAGAGGTGATAGATGAGCTGAGTGGCCGCCATGTTCTGACCACAGAACTTGTTTCTGGGTTTCCTCTAGACAAGGCTGAGAACCTCTCACAGGAGCTGAAGAATGAGGTACATCTGAATATGTTTTTATAGTTTATTAGATTCAACTAAAACAACCGCAACACAAAGACAAATTAATTTTTATTTTTTTTTAGATCTGCATGAACATCTTGTTGTTGTGCCTCAGAGAGCTGTTTGAGTTCAGGTACATGCAGACGGATCCAAACTGGTCCAACTTCTTTTATGACCCCCAGACACACAAAGTGAGTTCTACAGGTTTATTATTGCCGTCTAAGGAGTTCCTGCTGCTGTTTAAAAAAAAAAAAAAGGATGATTGTAATGTGGTCCTCTAGGTGGCGCTGTTGGACTTTGGAGCTACAAGAGGATTCGACCAAAGTTTCACCGATGTCTACATAGAGGTATGGTCACTCAAAAAGAYTTTTGTCCTTCATAAATAATAAAGCAGGCTACACACAAAGAAAAAAAAAAACACCTAACGATCAGTCGTCTTAAATGAAACCAGAGAGCGTTGACAGAGAGGAGAAGGTAGAAATGACTCAAACTGTAACAGAAAATATAGATGGAGGACAACAGAGCTGCTTCATGGAAGGAGAACCTCACTTTAGCCTGTTAGCTTTAGCATTAACACCAGAGCTAATACAATTATAAATGGTGATACTGTGTTAGCTCTAAGGATGCACCAAAAAATCAATTCACATCTCTTCCTGATTGGTTATAGAAAAGGAAATCCTGGATACATAAGTCAAATAAGTGAAACTTGTAAACGTGTGTTTTTTGTAGATAATCCGATCAGCTGCYGAGGGCAACAGAGAGGGAGTCCTGAAGAAATCCATCGAGATGAAGTTCCTCTCAGGGTACGAGTCTAAGGTAAGGATCTCTTGGTGTCGTTTTACATGAAGCGTAGCGAGGAATGTTTCTGTCACTTTGYATTTGATGATAAAAACTCTGGCTGGTTTCCAGGCCATGGTGAACGCTCACGTGGACGCCGTGATGATCCTCGGCGAGGCCTTCGCGTCCATGGAGACCTTCGACTTCGGCTCCCAGTCCACCACCGAGAGGATCCACAACCTGATCCCGGTGATGCTCAAACACCGCCTCACCCCACCTCCCGAGGAGACGTACTCGCTGCATCGCAAAATGGGCGGCTCCTTCCTCATCTGCTCCCGGCTGAACGCCAAGCTGCAGTGCAAGAACATGTTCCAGAAGGCCTACCAGAACTACTGGGAGGGCCGCGCCTCCCCCCGCTACTGAGCCCAGTCTGACGGGCTTGWCCTGGGGCCAACAGCACAGTGCTGATTGATGGAGGGTTTAGGGGTGAGAAGATGAAGAGCAGCAGAGCCAAGGCTGTGATACCTGCTTTTATTTTTATTTTTTTTACTCATCACTGAGAACCTGAGTGTCTTTACTAGTTTGAAAAGCTAAGAATGAAGATTTGAAAAGCCGTCCATCCGATCATCCCTTGTTTTTACCTGCTTCTCCTTTCTGGGTAGAGGGGAGCTGGTGCCCTTCTTCAGCAGTCACTGTGAGAGTCGTGGTGCAACCTGGACACGTAACAAGTCCGTCACAGAGACAAACAACCATTTACTCTCACACCTAGGGAGAATTTAGAGATATTAATGAAGCTAACGTGCAGGTATTTGGTGGTACCAGAGTACCCAGGACAACATGAAACTTCCACCCACAGAGGCCGCCATGCAGCCGATTAAAGTCWTTCTACATATTCAAAGGAACATTTTCTCATTTGATAGAGAAGCAGGAGTGTAATATCAGCAGATTTTTAGTTAAATGTTTTTGTATGGCCTCTACAGGAGAACCTGAATGTGAAAAGGTTGGGATTTTATCTCTATCCAATAGCTTCAACATAATTCTTGGGTTGTTTTTGTTTTCGTCGTTGTATTGCTGTGATTTCCTAAACTTTTAGATAACAAGGTCCAGTTTTATATTTACCACAACCTTCACTTTTGCTAAGAGAGCAACACTGATTGTAAAAAGGAGACAACCTCAAACTACCAAACCAAAAGTCACAACCTGACGCAGTTGATAGATTTTGTGGACTTTGAGTCTCAGTTTTGACCAACGTGTCTGTGTTTAGGGATTAAGTCGGCTCCTTTTTAAGGACGCTCCATTAAAACTGTCTGCGTTTGAATAATAGTAATAAAGCTGATAAGAATGAATAGTTAAGTGGCGGATTTAGTGTTGAAGTTGATGACAGGTGCGTAGGTTTAATGACTAACAGATGTTGGTCAAGCTCAGAGTGTGTATTTATAGCACGGACAGAAACTTCTGGATCAGCGTCGCCATCCGGATCACAGAACTGATGGACACCGTTGGACACAAATCAGCTGCTGTTCATACCTGTGTGTGTGTGTGTGTGTGTGTGTGTGTGTGTGTGTGTGTGTGTGTGTGTGTGTGTGTGAAACCATAGATTCAAAGGGTTCATTTGTTTGAAAAGGGATTCAGGGTTTTTCTAAGATGGATTCCAATGTCGATTTAAGAAATCAAAGCAGTTGATGGCCAGTTTTTAAAACCAGTTTTTGTTGGTTTCTGACCCTKAAATATATATAATCATGTACATTAGGGTATAAAACTTTTTATTAAAAAGGATCAAAAAAGCAAACAAACGGCGACTGAACAATTTGGTGCGACATTTACAAAAGGTTGAGTGTGAGAGTAGTAATCTGGATTGTGACTGAGATTAGTCGGCAACTCAGAATGCTGAGAAATTTGGCAAATTTTCAGTTACAGTTGAAATTCAGAGTGTTTGTGACCAGCAAGCTGTGCAGCTGCATTTTGCACAATAAAAATTTGATTTTGTTTTTAATTGCCGCCCGTTTTCATGTTCGCAACTTGCACTATTTTACTCCAGGCCCTGCACATTATTTTGTTACTCGCCCACCTTCCACAGCAG